CCCCCCCCCCCCCCCGGGGGGGCCTAAATGCAGTAATTTTATGATAAACTGGACTCGTTTAAAAATAACTTAAACGTGGACTCTAAAATAAGATGAGCCTATTAGCGAAAGCATGACTCCTATACGGCAGTCTGAAAATCAGGAATAGATGAGGATATTGCTGCATCAAAATTATGACAAAAAGACTAGCTGCCGCTTTGCACATGTAATGTCATGGGCGGCTTTCCAGCCATGCCCCATGACCCTTTGAGCGCGCCCCGTGGCGTCCTAGCGAACCTCCCAATGCCTAGCGCCACGGACGCCCCGTGGTCTTGGCCGCGCCAAGTGACAAGCGCGCAGGTGCCTCTGTCGCCCCACCGATATCCCTCGCGAGCGCCAAGCCGCAGGTAGAAGCCAACAGCGCTGCGCGCGCAGACAACGCCGCGCGCGCAGAACGTGATGCCAAAGACACTGTTGCTGACAACGGACCTGCTGCTGCCTTATAGAAAACCAAGTCATTTTCATTGTAAATATAGAGTAGTTTTATTTCATGTACTTCCATTATGTTTCTCTAGCTTAGTCAAGTCTAGTCTTGTAACTTTGGATTATTTTTTTTAAGTACTATTAGGGGGATCAAGTAATCAAAACTTTCTAGCAAGCAAGCAATTCTCTGTACTGGTGTCTCTCCCCCTCGACATCACGTTGCTTTTCTGTAATAGCTTTCATTAATGCAATCAAGCTTTCTTTCATTCTGAATTCTCATTTATGTTCTCTCAATTGCTCTTGACATTGATTTTCCCGTACGGCACTGACAATCTCGTCTAGCGTACGGAGGGGACCTCAGTTGGCGGACAGCAACTGCACTGACATCAGTTGCCTAGCCTTACGTCGCCCCTCCAAGGAATCAGGAAGGCGCCGCGTAACAGTTGGTATCAGAGCCTAGGCTCGACATCGGACGAGGGAACGTATTGACATACCACCATTTCTGACCATGGCGAATCATGGGGACCGCATTGCGGCCCTCGAAGGGACGGTTGAGGTATTGCGGCCTATTGTGGATACGGTGCCTGAACTAAGAACCAGCCTACTGCAAAGGTTGGACGACCTAGACCGCAGGGTGCTTCAGGTCGAAGTTGACGTTGAAAACATCAGTCGCGACTCCGAGGGAGACCGGCAGACGGCAGCCACAGAGGCAGCCGAAATCTTTGAGAAATTCGAGGGGCTCCAACAGGAGCGTACCGAGGATTTAGCCCACAGGGCATAAGAGGCAGAAAAGGTAACTGCCATGCAACAAACCATTGACAAATTGACAGACCAACTCAATGTTGTCAACACTGCTTTACAGGGCCTACTCCGAGGAGGTGGAAACCAAATCGGAGGTGCTGTGAACTCCGCTTCCGCGACAAAGAAGCTGAAAATTCCTGAGCCAAAGCCATACAGTGGAGCTAGGAATGCCAAGGAAGTGGAAAAAAACTTCATCTTTGACGTTGAACAGTATTTCGATGCTGTTGGGGATCTGGAGGAAGCTAAGAAGGTAGCAACTACTGCCATAAGGTTTCAACCCTTCCATGAAGGTGAAGAGTTTGTCCTTATCCCCCATGTCGCATATGCTGAGCATGAGTGCGGAGAATTCTCGCACGTAGTCCCGCACTGATTTTGTCTGGCGGAGCTCCCGTAATTTTCTCCTTGCATTATGTTCAACATTCTCGGGGAAGAACTGCAGGCGTATAGCTGCCTTTAGTTCGGCCCATGTCTCGAGAGCATCTTCACCGGCCTTGATGTCTTCGTACTTCACACGCCACCAGAGTTTAGCATCACCCTGAAGATATGCCCGCGTGGAGCTACAGAGACAAAGGGTAGATTCCCTTCCCAAGGCAATCCAAGCAGCTGAATGCCTTGGGGACTATCAAATGGAAGCTCGAAGGGACAGGCCTCAGCCGCCTGCCCGAGTAGGGTTCAAAGGGGGCCAGCCCAGCAGTGGTGGTCCTAGCAAAAATGGGGGAGATCGGAACTCAAACAAATCTAGAGCTCCTTCCTCCGGCAGCAACAGTGCTGCATCAAACAACAATGATCGGGCGAGAAAGCCTCCTTCAGGATGTCGTCATTGCGGCGGTCCACATTGGAACAATGAGTGCCCACATGCACAGATGAATGCCCATCAGGCTATTGATGATGGGACTGATGACGACTCAGACGATGCGGACCAGACTGAACCAGTAGGTGCCTTCAATGCAATTGTGGGTTCCATTTCTGAGGCACTAGCGGAGACCAGTGCTGGTATTCGTAAGAAGAAGGACTCATGTCCCGTCACCAGGAAAGGGAAAAAGAAGGCGAATGAAGAGACTGCTCTTAAACAAGAGAGGACCTTAATGTTCGTCGAGATGAAGGTGAATGGCAAGCCCATTCGGGCTATGATAGACACGGGTGCTACCTACAACTACTTAGCCTCGACTCAGGTGGAGCGCCTTGGACTAGTTGTAGGGAAAGGTAAAGGTAGCGTCAAGGCTATCAACTCACCTCCCCAGCCAGTGGGTGGAATAGCTAAAGAAGTACCGGTGAAGCTTGGGCCTTACAAAGGAAAATTCAACCTGCGAGTGGTGATCATAGATGACTTCGAGTTTATTATTGGGCTGGAATTCCTAAGGCAAACCAACACCATGCCTGTACCATTTGCAGACATGCTACTGATGATGGGTACCAATAGGGCCAAGCCCTGCATTATCCCGTGCCTGCCCATGAAGATGGCCGTTGAGAACATCTCGGCCTTGCAGTTGAAGAAGGGGGTCAAAAGGAATGAACCTACGTTCCTGGCAACCCTCTGCATTGAAGGTATAGAACGCTCCTCGGGTCCCATTCCTGAACCCGTGAAGGAGTTACTACTGGAGTTTGAAGATGTCATGCCACAAGACATGCCAAAGCGGCTCCCGCCTAGGCGCACTGTGGACCATGAAATTGAGTTGGTGCCGGGCGCGAAGCCACCTGCCCGGGCGCCTTACAGAATGTCACAACCCGAACTCACCGAGCTTCGGAGACAATTGACGGAAATGCTAGATACAGGGATCATTGTACCCTCCAAGTCCCCATATGGGTCCCCTGTTCTATTCCAAAAGAAACATGATGGCAGCCTGCGACTCTGTGTGGATTATCGAGCTCTAAACAAAATCACCGTGAAGAACAAGTACCCTATTCCCCTAATGGCGGACTGTTTGATAGACTGGGTGGTGCTACGGTGTTCACCAAGATAGATATGAAGACAGGTTATTGGCAAGTTCGGATTGCAGAAGGTGATGAACACAAGACGACTTGTGTGACAAGATATGGGTCGTACGACTTCCTGGTCATGCCATTCGGCTTGACCAACGCCCCTGCTACGTTTTGCACTCTCATGAACCGAGTCTTCCGAGAGTACATCGACAAATTTGTGGTGGTCTACTTAGATGACATTGTGGTATATAGCCAGACATTGGAAGAACACCTAGTACACTTGCCGTTGCGGGAACATGGACTATATGCAAAGTTATCCAAGTGCTCCTTTGCTCAGAAGCAAATTGATTTCCTCGGACATGTCATCGAGGAAGGACGCATCAAGATGGACCAACAGAAAATCCAGGCCATCACAGATTGGCCGACACCTAAGGATGTCCACGCCTTGAGGGCGTTCCTTGGCCTATGCAACTTCTACCGGCGGTTTGTGAAGAACTACTCACTTATCGCAGTGCCATTGACAGAACTCCTCAAAAAGGTCACACCTTGGGATTGGGGACCAAGGAGAGCAGAGGCCTTCAACGCATTAAAAGCGGCTATGTCTAGTAGCCCCGTCTTGGCCCTTCCTGATTTGGCCAAGCCGTTCGAGGTACAAACAGATGCTTCTGACTATGCACTCGGCGGAGTCCTGCTACAAGAAAGGCACCCTGTAGCGTACGAGAGTCGGAAGCTGAAGGATGCAAAGCGGCGCTATGCCGCCCATGAGAAAGAATTATTGGCTGTCGTCCACTGCTTGCGCCTCTGGAGGCACTATCTGCCGGGAACCCCGTTCGTGGTCAAGACAGACAACACAGCTGTTAGCCATTTCATGACCCAGCCGAAGCTGAACGATCGACAGGCCAGGTGGCAGGAATTCCTAGCTGAATTCCACTTCAACTTGGAGTATCGCAGTGGAAAGACCAATCATGTTGCTGATGCGCTCAGTCGGAGAGCTGATCTAGCATCAGTGTGCCTACTCGCCACCCTAAGGGGGAGCGAAGTAGCCACATCCATCAAGGACCAAATACGGGATCTACTCATCAAGGATCCTGCTGCTCAGTATTTATTTGAAGGGGTCCATGACCCTCGCCTATTGCAAAAATACATTAGACCCTTGTCCATTGAAAAGCGTATTGGGAAGGTTGCATACCGGGTGGATACCCCAGCTTGGTGGAAAATTCATCCTGTCTTCCATGTCAGTCTCCTGAAACCTTTTCGGGAAGACACGGAGGATCCTTCAAGGAGCCAGCTCACAATACCCAGTATTCGAGGTCCCAATTCAACCGGGAAAAGGCGTGTTGAAGCTATCCTTGATGACAGAGTGATTCATGCCTCAAGGAAAGATCACCAAGAGTTTTTGGTGAAATGGCAGGGCTGTGATGCAGAAGAGAATACTTGGGAGAGGGGAACAAACCTCAAAGCCTACAAGAGCCTCATTGAAGATTATTTTGCAAGTAAGGCGCCGAGGACGTCGCTAACTCAGGTGGGGGAGAATGTCATGGGCGGCTTTCCAGCCATGCCCCA